TATCTTATATTATTATATATATTATTATAAAACATGCTTTAGTTAAGGAGTTACTAATACTTCAAGTGCAAAATGATGATATAAAACCTTGATAAAAATACACTTTTAAGTATCAATCAGCGTGAGTTCTAAAGATCGAAATGAAGTGATTCTAGTAGCACTAAAAAGCTAACATCCATACCTTTTATGGAATTATGGTTGGAAATTATGTGAAAAGAAAGAAGTGACGCTTGATGAAAAGTTGGGAAAAATTACAAAAAAAAAAAGAAAAAGAAAAAAAAATATTCCTTTATGTTCTTAAGATTTTATATTGAAAGAGCTTGAAATCAAAAGGAGTTAAGCATTGGTGATTAAAGATGAAAAATTTATGTTCTTTGATGGAATATCTTGTTTGAAATATCATTTGTTTTAGAATACTCTACTATCTTTGATTTGAACCTTTTCTTTTACTCTCTTTTACCTCACCTTAACCTTAGCCCCATTACAACCGGAAAATAAGACCTTTTGATTCATGCATTGTTTGTAATATGTTAGAAATGGAGATGAGATTGAAAAGAAAGCTTATGGTAGAACATACTCTTTGATTGAATTTGAGAGATTTAAACACATAAACCCTAAACACATGAGTGTTGGAGTATATATCAATGAGAGGACTATTACTTTGGCATGGCATAGATTTCATTTAAATCCCAATGATTGATTGAGTTTTGAAGTTTGCATGTAAACAAATTCATGAAAAAATATTTATTTTTATCCTTTTTTATTATATTCTTATTTATAATGCTTGTACTCTTGGACATTGATGGGAGATTAAGAGATTGATCATATTTATTTTCAATTTAATTTTATTTATCCTTTCTCGAGGACGAGAAAGAGCTAAGTGTGGGGGTATTTAATGTAACCATATTATTCGATAGTTTCACCCACATCTACCTAATGTTGTGTCCATGTTTTATATGTAAAATGCCTTGATATTCTTTGTTTTATATTTCGAAGGCACTTTTGGATGAAAGATGCAAAAAAGGAGTAAATTGGAGGTGATAGGCAGATTTGACGTTCAGTCGATATTTTGTGCAAAGCATGAGTTCTAGAGATCAAAATGAAGTGATTCCAGCAGCACTAAAAAGCTAACATCCTTACCTTTCTAGAAATGTAATGCATGAAAAATAAAAAGAGAAAGATCATGGAAATCACATCCTTCAAAGTCAAATGTTGCATTTTGCCACTATTGACCTTTGTCCATTCAAAATTCAATATCTGAAGCAATAGAAGTCCAATTGATGTAAACTTAATTGTTTTTAATTCTTGACTCAAAGGTCTATAAACGCTCCAAATTTCAGCCATAAACAATGTCAGATGAGGGAGATATGATTTTTCAAACATGACAATTGAATTATGCCAGCAATCAGGTTTCATGAAGAAATGAGTCCAAATTACGTTTCAAAGCTTCTAAACCGTCATCCAAGTTTTTATCTTAGCAATTTAGCTCCTCTAAGTCAGAGCTTGAAGATTTCATGCAAGGCTATTTCTCCTTTTTAGGGAAAATAGTTATTAAAGTACTTAAATGTAAACTATCAACTTAAGGGAGGATTACTTTGTAAATTAAGAACTAGGGTTTCTTAGCATATAAAAAGAAAGAGAGAGAGGAGAGAAGAGGGTTGTAGCCAGAAGTTTAGAAACACAAATTCTCTCCTCTACAAACCCAAAAATCATGCTCTCTTCATTCTTTAAGAGTAGTTGTTCAATAGTTATGCAAGACTAAGCTCTTTTCTTGGTTGTAAGGACACAACAAACTTTCGGATTTCAAGAACTGTGAGATTTATTCTTGCCTTTATTTTCAGTTTATATTATGAATGAGTGTGATTGTTTTCTTATGCATATTTTCTATGATTGTTGTTGATAATTGCTAGAGCGGAACTCTAAGTTATTATTGTGAACAATTTATTGCTAAGTTTGATATCAAAATCGGAGTTGTGATGTATGAACTTGTGAAGCAACTAAGCTTGATAATTGTAGCGGAACTACATTATTAAACTTAGGGAGAACATTCAAATATCTAGTTCTTAGAGCTGCCATTGAACTAAATCATTAATGCAGACATTGTGATTGTTTGTTGGTTAGGGTTATTATACGGCGGATCCGTTAATTAACCAACATTAAGAAAAGATAAAAATTCAGAATATAAATTATAGTTTTGTTTCAAGGATCGGTTCTAACTTCCGTTGGTGGATGTGTGCTTGCAACCAAGGTTTGTGCTTGACCGCTTTTTATGATCGGCTTGTTTTAACTCGCAAGTGCACGAGTGTGCGATGTAGCAATTAACTCGGTAAGATCGAGGTCATATCCATAGAGAGATAGATCTGGAAATTAAGCTAAGTAACAAAAAAAACTCAAGAGAAATTAAATTAACAATAACTTGGTTGAAAATAATTGATGGATTTGTTTTTAAAGATAAAAAAAAATGTAAATAGATTTTAAATGACAAGAAAAAGTAAGTCTTGGTCCAAATCAATTTTAATGGTGATGTATTGGTGATTTCTTCAACATATGTAAGATAACTCAACC